AAACCATTTTCCTTTCATTAACTATATATCTACATTTAATAATATGCCTATACATTGCCCTTTACATTCATTTTTAAAAGATTATATCAACACAAAACATTTTTTTGATTACTATTATCTTAAACGAAATACTAAGTATCAATACCTACAAGTGAATTGGCTTCTAACCTTTTATTTTATTCAATCTGGATTCGCATCTATCACATTTTTTACTGAAACAAGAAGTTGTAGTAGAAAACTTAAATTTCTTCTTAAATAGCTTCTGACAGTTTAATTTATGAAAGCCACTCAACCTCAGTTATATTCATCTTTCTTAAAATACTGTTATTATAATAGCCACAATGAAGACTTTAACTATATCTGGCTTTATTCTACTATTAGATAATATATGCAATTTCTGATCTCTGAATCTATAGCTCATTTAAAGTTACAATTATTCATTTATATCTCTAAATCTGTTTTTGCAAACAATATCAATAATCTTTCAAACCCCTCATATTCAATATAGTCATTACGAGCAAATCCATATGATTTCTCTTTTATTGACCTTATAAAAGGCATTGTTCCTACTACTTTATTAACAACTTTAATAATATTTCCCAAATCTTCATCTACTATCTCATTTATCCTTTTCTCTTTTTCAATTTTATTTTTACTTATGTCTATAATAATATATGAAAAACTACATGTGCTTTAACTTTAAATAAAGAAAGATCCTTATATATAACAAAGAAACAGAAGAAAAGCAATTTTGCTATATCTAATGTTACTTTCTCCATTAATAGTTTCTCTAACACTTTATTTACCAACAATACAGATACACTAAATGATATTACTTTAATTAATAACTCTTATAAACATGGTCGACACTGGTCTTTCTTTTTGGATAGGTGATAATCAGTTGCTTTAATGATTTTTTTATTTAGTTTAATATTAATAATTACTCAATAAATCTTTGTAATCAGAATCAGACAGGATAACTGGTTGATTTAGTAGGAGTTAGTTTTCTAGTAATAAAATATTAGGCAGCAATTTTTATTTTTCTACTTTTGTACCTGTCTTGAGATTTTCATGTATTTTATATTGAATTTGTTCTTTTTTATATAATAAAATATTGCATCACCACGTCTTTAAAAAAAAAATAATAATAATAATTTTAAAAATATAAAATTTGATTTATTAGATTTATTATATTAAGATCTATTAAATAATAATATTTTTATATTTTTGAGATTGATAGATAGTAAGATATATTAATTTAAAATTTTAATTTTTTTATAATAATTTATTATTCATTTATCTTTAAAAAATCACTAGATATTACATTTTTTTTTTGAATTTTTACTTAAAAAACATCAAAGAATTTATTATAAAAATATTAATTTTTTTAATTATATATTTTAAAATATTTAAAAATAATCAAAAATAATAAATAAAATTGCTTACAAATTTATAGGCAAAATAATTGAAGGGATAATATAATGAATCTAAAAATTTTATTTTATTTTTTTATAATTATTAGATATTAAAATATTTTAAGTTTTTTTTATATACAGTAGTTTTGCATAATATTTATTAAAGTAAAAAATTACAAATTCTAAATGAAAAAGTACAAAAATTTCTATTTAAAGTTTAAATCAAAATCAATCTTATACTGTTCTAGACTATTTATCTTAAACTAATTTAAAATATGTTTAACCATCTAGTATCAGAAATTTGATCACTACTAATCCAAAAATTTAACCAATTAAAATTATATTAGAAAGAAATGAAATAAAGGGAGAAATGTCAGAAAAGTACGTAGTTGAACCTGTAATATTGAAATGTGATTTGCGATCAAGAAGAGAGATGTTATAATTTTTTTAAGTTATTTGATAATAGAATAATAACTGATTTATAGTAATTTTATTTTAGTATGTGTAAAATAATAAGTAGAAAATAGAAGGTTTAGGACTAACAAATTGTTCTTTAGTAAGTGGCGTAATATGTTAGAAAATGCATAAAGAACTTGATAAAATCTACAAAGGTAAAGGAATTATAAAATAAATCAATATTCTATATATTAAGGGATATTATTTCTTCAATATCAAAAGAATTTGAAATTAATCAGTTAAGTGTTAAAAGATAAATATTATAGTGTTTAGTATAATATCATTGATTTGATAGAGTGTAATCTGATATATCTAAATATAATCAAAAGTTTTAAGTTCAAGTGTATATTTAAGATAAGTCTATATTATATTATAAAAATCTGAGTAACATTATTTGAGTATTTCAAGTATAAAAAGAAATTCCAATAAAAGTTTGACTTTAAATTTGTGAAGAAAAAAGATCTTGTATAATATTACTAATTTGTGCTCATTATTATTGAGGATAAATGCAGTACTTATCTAACTCATATCTAATATAAAATACTTATGAATATGAAAAAAGTATTAGAAATTGTAGAAATCAATTGATCTGAGAAGATCTTTAGTGAAAAATCTTGGCAACCTCATAATTATATGGTTATTAAATTTAAAAATGAATTGTATCCTAATGTAAAAGTAGATAAAACTATAATAAGTTCTTCTATTTTAGTAAATCGATTACTATATTATTAAAATGATCATCAATATATGTTATAGATGAGGGATGAAACCCCTTAATAATAGTCAAAACTTAGACGAAACTATATTAAAATCATAATAAGAGATACGATAAAACCCATTCGATATGACGAAAGCCAAAACTGTCAAAACTATATTAAAAACATAGAAAAGGGTATGACGAAATTATTTTGAGAAGGTTTCGGCAGGCATCTATAGTGAAATTATATAAACTCTATTAGAAATTTCTCTATAAATAGTTTTACTAATTACTAATTTTTCTCAATCTTCTTCTAACTTTGAATATCTTACTTTAATTAAAAAATCTTATATATACAGTTATAGATAGCCTTTATTCTTTATACAATAATAATTAGTTATTAAATGTTTACTTTCTATTAGTTGAGTGTTAATGGTAACTCTACTAATGATTATTATTAAAACCTAATTAAATAACTGGTTATTCTGATAGGAGTTAGATTTTTTCAATCATAAATATTAGGTAGTTTTATTTTATTTTATTTTTACTTTTGTATCTAGTTTTTAAGATTTTCATATATATTTTTATTGAATTTGTATATTATTAATAAATAAATATTACTACGTTTTTAAAAAAAATAGATTATATTATAATAGCTATAAATTCAAATCACAGTTGAATCATAAAATAATATAATTTTCATAAAAATTTTATTTGTAATTGAATATATAAATATTTTACAATAGAAAGAGAGAAAACTACCAAAAAAATTTCTTTTGAATTAATTTTAAATCTAAATTTATTTTACTATAAAAATAATATTTAGTTTACAAAGTAAAAAATTTTTTTGATAGTTTTCTTCTTTTCTATTACAAAGTATTTATATAAGTATATATATATTAATAGATATTAGAAATTAATTAATTAATCTATCAATTGATATTAATCATAATTAAATATTAGATTTAGATATAAATAAAATTAGAGATTAATAAATATTTAACTTTTGTTGATAGATCTATAATGGATACAATATAAAACCTCTATAATAAGAACTTAAAAAACCATTAATAAAATTTAATCTACTGATTGAATTTTAATTAAATAAAAAAAAAATAATTTATATTTGTAAAAATAAATTGATTTATAAAAAAAAGTTTATTTTTTAATTTTGTAAATTATGTAAGTATTATATAATATATATATGAGTCAATCAAAAATTAGTATTAAAAATTATATAAAACAATTTATTTTATTTTATTTATTATTTCATTATAAATTGCATCAGATGTATAACAATAAAATTTATATTTTTTAGCTACAACTCTACCATTTTTTAGTAATTTCTTTTCTAAAAATATTTATATATCATCATGATTTTTGTGCATATTTTTGAATTATAATTAAAGAAATTGAATCTAATGTTTTAGGAATAATTTATTATAATCTAACCTATATATAATTATAATATTCTGTATATTTCTTTTGCTATATTTTAATATATCTTTATATAATTCAATTTACAATAATATTTAAATTAAAATATATGAATAATAAAAGAACTATTCTTATAAATTTGTCATTATATATATTTTTTTAATTTCAGTTTTTATAATTAATTTCAGATAATTTAATCTGATATAATTTAATCAATATTGAAGATATTAAAATTCTAATTCAAGATTCTTAAAATACAGATTATAGTTTATTTTATGAATTAAATTTTCAATTTTATATATAATAAAATTTTTTTGCATTTTAAATTTGTCTTATTTTTACTTTAGCAAAATTTCTATTATAGAAGTTCTGCATTGTACTATTTTATATTTTCAAATAATATAGTTCTTATCTTTAAAAAAGTGTTTAATTAATTATTAGAAAGGTTGCTAGAAATTGTTATAGTATTAATTTTATATCACTTAAATTGAAATAAGATTTAATTCCTAAGTGTATTTGATAATATAAATATAATTAAAATTGTTTATCTAATCTTATTTTAAATTTGTTAAAATATTTAAACCTTTAATTTTATTAATTTTCTATTAAGATTTTGATACAATTTTATTATTTTATAAATTTTAACATAGTTTTATTTTTTTTTGAATTTAATAGATTATTTAATATAATTTTATTAAATTTTATTTTTTACTATTTAGATAACTTATAAAATCTTTAAGTTTTGTTTAATAATTTTAAGTATAATAGTTCTTTTAGAGTTCTATTTATACTAATAATAATTCTAGAGCATAATACTTTCAAAACAATTTAGATAATATTTATATAAATTTAAACGTATAAAAGAAAAAAAAATCAAATATTATGATTGAACATTTTCATTGCTTATTTTAGGAATTCACTCAAAATGAAAGGATTTTATTTTTTACTAAATATAGGATATATAGAAGAAAAAAAAAAAGGGCTGAACGCAATTTTTACTGAGTAATTATACCAAATCTAGCAGTTAAAAGGGAAAGGAAAATAGTAGATAAAGTTACAAGAATAACTTTTAAAATACTGGTATCAGGTAAAATAACATATTTTAGAGCAGGAGGAACAGCAACAGAATGAGTATCCAAAAAAACAAAATAAGCATAAGCAGGGAAAGCGACACAATAAGAAAAAGAAAAGATAAGATATGAATAGAATTCATAAATCTTGACTGTGGAAAGATCATTTCCAAAGATATGAGTGAGTGAAGCTAAGATTAATAATATGACATAATTCGGACGGAAATATCCAACGGAACCAATGGAACCATATTCATTTTGATTTGTTTGATCGATTTCTTCAATTTCTGAGGAAATACTTTCTCTATTGGGTTGATTTTGTCTTGGATTTTCTATATCGAGGAGACGTTGATAAGTTTCATCGCCATAACCCTTACGCGTATTCAAATACATACGCGTAAATTGAATGACTAATGCGTAATCCGAACAAAGTCCTTGTACTTTAAACCAAAGAGCATCAAAAGGCCATTCTAAATAGATGCTCAAACCTACAACAAGTAACACATATAAGGTTATCCAAACTATAAATGAATTCGAGGTGATTCTTCCTCCTTGATGCAGGGTAACTAGAATACAAACTTCGAGTACATTATGGAATACTCCTACGATCACCCAAAGTTTTCCAACATCGACTAAATAATATGAAAATCCTGCTAAAGCTGTAACCAATGAGTAAGCAGCCAATAAACGGTCAAACCCAAGAGTCGAAGTTTTATTTGCTTCTCGATCAACGAAATATGTTAATAACTTTTTATCCTTTTGCGTGTTAAACATGGTCCATTTATACATGAAAAATCCTGTGATAGTCATGATTATTGCCGAGAAAAGGATCGTTGCATCTTGTACTTGTCCATCGTATCCCGGCAAAGGAGGATGCCAAACAGGATATCCGGTGTGAGTTCCATTGTCTTGTGGTGGATTATTTGTGCTATTTCCTACGAAACTTGATATCAATATTCCGAGTGAAGCGAGAACTATTAAAATAGCAATGATAGTTCCTGCTTTATCCATATTTTTTTTATTACTGTAATGATTTTTGGTTTTATTTTTATTTTTTATTTTTTTATTTCCTTTGGTAAAATTCAAACGTCTTTATAAAAAAAAAAAAGAAAAAAAAGATGAAACAAATACTAAGTAAATAAGTATTGTTCTTACCATATATTATTCTATTATACAATTCAAAACTATTTTATCCAGCGGTTTCCTAATTAGTCGTGTGAACTTCTTTCAATCA